CAAAACACAGAGGATGTTCCTCTGGGCAAAAACCTTAGTTACACAAAAGAAAACCCAATTTGATTATCCCTTTAATGTAAAAAGACAAAGTCACAAAAGGAAATAAACATAAGCTAATTCATTCCTTCTCTAATACTCCCTACCCTGGGTGATTTCTTGATCTTTTTACTCCGGCACAGAACTTAATGAACAGACTGAACAAAGGACTCTTCCCTCCTTTCTGGGTGAAACATTTTGTCCCCCCATTGGTTCCTCTGGTCAGGTGTCAGCTAGGCTAGGTGAACTTCTTAACCCTTAACTGTCTGTTTATGACACAAGGATATCAGCATATTGGAAGTTTTTGGAAGGGTGCTTGCTGCTTGTTCAGCTCATGGCAGTGTGGTGATATTAATGCCATGTCAGTAATTATGTTTTAAATGCATAGGATTTGGGGTCTGTGAACCATTTGGTAGTGAAGAAATCTGCATGTTTGATGCTAATTTCATTGTTGTTCTTTGCAAAGTGTTTGGATATAATGATAAGATTGTGTCTAGATTTATGAGGAGTCTCAGTTAACCCTCAGCTTGTCCTCTTATGACCCTAATGATTGTTTTAGTTTGAGCGCTTTACTCCATTGTGGTGTCTTGCTCCAGTCGGGAAGAAATTCAGGCTATGAGCATCCATGACTCTCCAAATGTACATATTTAATCTCATGTGTTATTATGCCCCCTCTGTTCCAGCAGTAAATTGGAATTATAGTGGGTACTTGTGTAACCAAAGTTTGGTGGGTTACATGTACATTACACAAGGGAATTCCTTGTGGTTATAAAGTAATATCCAGTCATGGCCATGATTGGCAGCTTAGGTTACCCACAGTTGACAGTTATTGTGCTGTGGATGGCAGTGAGTGGCTGGAAGGGTTTTAAGTAGAATGTAACATTGTCAGTGCATTAAAATGATGAGATACACAAATTACAAGTGTATTGGAATTATTGGCTATGATTGTCTGTCATACAGCAGCAAATAGAAGCCCCAGGCTGGGGCATAGGTGCCAACTTTTCCTGGCAACAGTGGGTGCTCGAGCCCCCCTCCCACCCCTGCCCTGCCCCCATTCCAACCCCTTCCCCAAAGTCCCCACCCCAACTCTGCCCCCTCCCTGCCCCTATTGGATCCCTTCCCCAAATCCCGGCCCCGCCTCTTCCCCAAGCGTGCTGCATTCCTCCTCCTCCTCCACCCTCCCAGCGCTTGCTGTGCGAAACAGCTGTTTCATGGTGAAAGCGCTGGGAGCTAGGGGGAGAAGTGGGACACGGCACGCTCAGGGGAGGAGGCAGAGGTGCAGTGGAGGTGAGATGGGGCACCCAATTTTTCCCCGTGGGTGCTCCAGCCTCGAAGCACCCACGGAGTCGGTGCCTATGATCTGGGGCCCTGGTGTGTTGGGCACTGCACACACATCACAGGAGACAGTCTGTAGCCCGAAGAGTTTAAAGTCTAAACAGGCAAGATGGACAAAGTGTGAGAGAGGAAACAGAGGCACAGAGACTTACTCAAGTTCATGCACAGCTCAGTGGTAAAGGCAGGAATAGAACCCCTGTCCCTTGACTCTCAGTCCACTGCGCTATCCACCAGCTAACCCTGCCTCTCATTTAGTGGTGTTCTGGCTTATGTGCACATGCTTCATATTGCCTACCAATCTGAGGGAGCTGCTACATAATCCTGCAGTTTCCTGAGCAGGAACAAGAGACTGTTTCTTCCTTTAATGAACACAAACACCACCTCTTAGCAGGGACAAAGGGTTGGATCAGAAGAGCCATTGGAAGGAGCTGTGCACTGCTTAACTGATGGGCAGGGAGGCTAAAGTCTTCCACTACTTCCACTTAGTTACAAAGATAATTTTACAAACATTTGTGACCCCCCCCCTTGGGCAGAGGAAGTGCTGGGTGTTCCAGGAGAAGGAGAATGGAGAAAGGGAGAGCAAGAGGGCGTGTGTGTCTGTACCTCCTGACAAGAGGCCTACAGTGAGTGGGACCTCACCTAGTGAAGCAGCTGAGAACCTGCTGAAAGTCCAGGAGGGACAAAGTGGCTGGCTGTGGACACCCCAGGACAAGAGCCAGGAAGAGCACTGTGCCAGGGAGGAATCTCCTGAGGACAAACCAGAGCCAGACCCAGTTTTGCTGTCACCCAGAGCTGTATGGGGCTGTGAGTGCTTTGCATTGGGATTAAGGTGGGAGGCTGTTAGCTAGCTAAGTGGAGAGGTTGTTGCTCTGTGGGGCTTTGCAGAGAGCGGCAGAAGAGGGCACCGGAGGGGTTTGCTGTGGAAAATTCATTGGTGTCAAAGATGACCAGGAGCACCCAAGACTCACTGCTGCATGGGAACTCGACCCAGGACTCCTGAACTCTGAGTGTAGATACAGAGCTCGGTGTCTGCCCTGTGACACTGTGCTTGGCATCTCCCATTTTTTATTGTGGTACCACTGGGCCCATGAGGCCTTGGGTTGACTGTAACCTGTTTTACCGGCGCTCCCATATTTCCCCCTGTTGTTTTTCTACCTTCATCCCTCTGTAAATAAATATTTCCCTTTCCTATACTCACTGATCTATTCTGGGGTGTGTGCATTTACACAGGGGGGGTCAGAACAGGTGCCCCTAGGGTGGAAGCAGTTACCCCACTGTGCTCCAGTGCGCGCCTGAGCCACTCTGCAGAGCAGACTCCATTTTGGCCATGAGGGCTCTATAGTTGCATATTAATTCCCACAAAGTACTTCCCAATGCAGAATTACAGTCTCCCAGCAGGGCCTGGTGCCTTTCCAAATGCAGAGAGCAGCTAAACTTACATTCCTGAAACCCAAGAGATACAAAGTAACGGCACACAGCGCCCCAGCCCTGCAACCTTAACTCTGCCTCCTGGGACTGGCATTAGGCGCGGGGAGCGGTTCAGTGCGCATGGTGCCATAATACACAGGCATGAGGAAGGTGCCATTGCTGGTGTTGTGTTTCTCAGATTTGGATGCCAGCATCTATCTGCCTGCACTCCCACTGCCTTCCCAGTGTTCGGAGTTGCTGTAGTGACTGGGGGAGGGGTTAGTTAGAGCAGGCTGGCAGAGCTGTCACTCAGGTCACTGTGATATGATGAGAGGGATCACGTATGTGTCTCACTGGACTGCCGAGGTCTGTACGATGTGTCAGCAGAAGTGCAGCGGCTCTTAACCTTTCTGGAGTCTGATTTGTCTTGTGTACCCCCAAAGTTTCACCTCCCTTAAAAACTACTTGCTTACAAAATCAGACATAAAAATACAAGTGTCACAGCCACTATTACTGAAAAATTGCTGACTTCTCATTTTTACCACATAATTATAAAATAAATCAATTGGTATATAAATATTGAACTTACATTTCAGTGTATAGCGTATAGAGCAGTATAAACAAGTCATTGTCTGTATGAAATTTTAGTTCAGACTGACTTCACTGGTGCCTTTTATGTATACTGTTGTAAAACTAGGCAAATATCTGGATGAGTTCATGTACCCTCTGGGAGATCTCTGCGTACCCCCCAGAGTACATGTACCCCTGGTTGAGAACCATTGCTCTAATGACCTCAAATTTAGACCACTAACCGTACCCCAGGCTCCAATGAGTCACAGAAATGTTCAAGACAATCTGAGTATGAGTGTGAATTTTAGAGCCCTTAAGAAAAAAGCAGCTGTTAAACTGTGAACTAGAACAAACCTTAACCAGACAGAGCTACTGACCCACTATAATGAGAAATGTCAACCGTCATCTCACAATGAACCCTCAGCCTCCACTTATTACCCTGTTGAAGACGTCAAAGTATCAGAAGAAATTACTGACCTGCCACCTGCAGTTCCATAAATGCTTCTTCATAAGAGACACTGGACTCAAAATAACACGTGTATTGCCCATTGTCGGAGGGTCGGATATTGTGTATTCTCAGGGAAACTCTCCCATTGGTGATATCGTCTTTCAAGAGCTCAGTTCTTCCTTGATATTCCAGCATGTGCTCTCCGTACTGATCCTGCCCATCACGGTACAGGTGCACGACTTCAAAGTACTTGGATCGGAACCATCTCACCTCCATGTTCTCAGCGCTCATCCTGGGGGAGAGGTGGCAGGACAGAATGGCCTCCCCACCTAGGGAGGCAATGACTGGATCGTCAGGTCCAGTCACTGTGAATTGTGCTGTGAAATGTACAAAGGAAAATGGAAATTAAATCGGTGAGTGGCTGGGGGTGGCATTACCTTAGCAGTAAGACTCATAGTAAGAGAGCACCCTGGGTTAGAAGTGAACACCATGTCCCCATGCAGTGCCCTAGGCGAGTCACAGGCTTGGGGTAACTGCACCTCTGACCCCTCTGTGTTCTGCTCAAGGAATGTCTCCTTAGGTCTCAGGCCTCCAGCCTTCACCTCTCTCTGAACAGGGACCCATGGCCCTCTCACTCCACACTGGGGTTTCATGCCCCTCTCTCATAACTATAAAGGGAAGGGTAACAGCTCTCCTGTGTACAGTACTATAAAATCCCTCC